AATGAGTTTTTAATCAGCAGTGAATGTACAAAGATTAGGTGCACAAAACGCTAAGAACTTTCCGGACAACCTAATACTAAGCGCCCAAACACTCAAAAATTTAGTACTCCGCTACAAGGAGTACACATGAAAAACAGACTTCTCCACAATAGATGAGGAGAATTATGAGGAGTGCAGATCTACGATCGCACTACTATAAAGCGGCCTACAGCAACTCAAAAACGGTGCCGCATCTAAGGGTCCTACAACAGACCGTTCACATAAGTGCGCAGAGAGAGAGAAATCGCCATAGAATAACCTGGAGAATATCTGTATGCTGCTTGGTGATGCCATACAGTCTCTCTACATTTCCCAGAAGCAAATCCTGGGAGGCGTGTCTCAAATGTAAGCTGAAAAAAGTCGTGTGCATAAGGAGGGCCAACCAAGACAAGATATCTTCATCAAGACATCTTCATCATGTCGTTCTCCTCCGATCTACAGCAAGCCATCACCGATTTGGACCGCTGCGATATGGCTACTCTACTCCACAACATCCTGCCCAGACTCACTGCGATAGAGTCACCCTGCCAAACGATTTTGGAGCGTACGACTCCAAAATCGAACTGTATATTCTGTACCCTGGACGAGAACCAGGGATTCGCACCACTAGTAGATGCAACCGATTCCCAGACGCGGTATCTCGTACAGCCCAAGCGGCTAAGCTGCAGTTGTGTTGTAGATGCCTGAAAACGGGGCATCAAGACAACTACGAGGTGAAGTGTAGCAGTTGTGGTCTCGACCACAACTTGCTACTCTGTCACCATCGCAGACAGCAGCAGCAGCCGCCACAGAAACGACAACGTTTCTGATCCCCTTCAACGACCTCAACGCCATACGATGCCTGTCCTCGCCTTCAACAACGCCCCTCCACCAGTCCGCCGCCTTAAGCCACTCCTCAACGTCAGCGAACATATCAGCGACTGTGATCTTGCACTAGAATATGATGATTTTGCCAATTTTTTTTCATATTGTCTCCCAGGAGAGTATCATCGTCGCCGATGATGCCCCTTCGCCATCTGTCGGGGCCGGGACATACCGTTGTAGTAGCGAGAACAGTCGTACTCATTCTGTCTTTTTACTAGTTGCTTCTGTGTGACGAGATAAACTTTGTGCTCCCTCTCTCGCTCTTTCCTATAACAACTCACTGAACTGCCGAATATTCGGCTTAAAAGGGTTAGATCAACCCTAAGTCTCAAAAGCACCCACAAAAGCCTACAATTAGTCTGGCAAGGTCCGATTTAGTCGGCACTGTAAATAGGTGATTTCGTATCTTCCGGTAGACATGCGTTTTGCAGCCTTGATATGTATCGAATTACACCCCGGCTGTCTCTTTGGAGTTTCTTCTGTGGATGTCTCTTTTGGAGATCCGACATGTCGCAAGCGCTCTGCTCTTGTCTCGGGATTGTTTGTTTATTTTTATTTGGAGCTAGTTTTGTCTTTTTACTGATCAACGAACTTAACTTCGCACGTATTATCTGATCGTAAATAGGAGCAGGTCGCCAACGCTATCTCGCTGGCGTCGCAAAATGTCCACAGGCTATAGCCAGAGGGCAGTCGTCCTGAGCTGCGAGGTATGCTTACGGAGATGTTACTGATATCATGACATGCCTTGATCCACTGCCTGCCAAGGTCTGGCGGTATCTCATCTTTCCAGTTTAGATTACGTGCGTAAATTTCCCTCATTAAGTGCTTCAGCTTTATCAGCAGAGAAGACACGAGCTCCGGAGAAGACGTACACCTGGAGGTGGCCTGCCAGGACAGTTGATGTTCAGAGGCTAGTTATCCGTCTTCGTGACGAGCTGAACATAGTAAAAAGGGACATCGAACTAATGGATGCTACCAAGAAACGCATCCAAGTGCGAAGTAAGGGTTACACCTTTGTCGCGAGAGAGCCCCGTGAATCGGGTGTGGATGTGCCGGTTGACTCAGTACGAGAGTACTGGAAACCTATTGTAGGTGAAGTACAACCGTTCACAGAAACAGTGGAGCTCGCAATGTGGTCGCGAGCACATAGGCGATTGCCCAGAGTCCATATGGATACAAGGCTGACAGAGCTGAAGCTGCGAAGACTTTGCTTTTCAAGATTAAAGCCTGAAAGCCACTGGTCAGATGAATCAAGGCTATTGGTGGAAGTATCTGCCGGTAAGCTAAGGAGCTGAGGAATGGTGTGTCAAAACACTGCACAGGCGCAGGGATGCTATACCGAGATGGCTGTGCAGAGGCAAGGTCGTCTTGATCCCAAATGGAAAATCCTGTATCTCCCTGGGCCTGGAGATTTTAGGCCTATTGCATGTTTGAACCCGTATGTTACAAGGTCTTAACCGCCATGATAGCAAACCGCATTATCGCATGCGTCGGTGACCGATTCCCTCGGGAACAGGTCGCTCTTCGGCGTGGATAATGCGGGATGCAGCCTCTGCGCACATAACTGGATCAAAACAGTATCAGAGATGCTATTAAAGCATCACCGGGAGTTACACATGCTTTGGGTGGATATGACCAAAGCGTTTGACTCCGTGTCTCACGGCGCTATACGCTGGACATTAAAGCAATGGGATATACCATTGAATATCCAGAGAATACTCTGGAGAATTATGTCCAAGCAAAGCGTCAGGTACTGTGGCTTCAAGAGCGGTAAGGCTGTGGTGAGTAGCCCTCTTGAGATCAAGAATGGTCTTATGCAGGGTGATACACTAAAGCATAGGGAGGTCGTTCAGGGCGTGGTGAGCTTTTTCAAAATGGTCTTGTGCATATTGTAGGGGCACATACGAGGACCACAAAACTGAGGTTCATTTTCGCTGCGCGCTTCTACGAATAAAAAAAACGTAAAAAATAGGTCGATGGTTCGGATCCCGCCGAGGACAAAATTTTGCTTTTCTACAGTTTTTCATTTTTTGGATCCATGTTTGTATAAATAATTGGTCCTAACAAAAACATTCACGATAAACTGAACAATCCTACTTTTATGGAGCAAAACTGCTTTTTCCTTCGAGTTCGTTATTATGCACAGATTCAGTTCTTGCCGGTGCCAGATGGCACTGGAACCGAAAATAAAGTCTAGAATCGTGATCAGGACTGTCGATTACCCCTAGGAGCAAGTTTTGAGCGAAAATTTTTTTTGACTTTTTCGGGTTGTAGGTGACCATTTGGTCGGCAGTGTGAGCGGAGTCTCACATCTTCGTAACAGCGATCACGTATCGTATCGTATGCGGACCCCGAACAACCCAATAAGCAGACCCAAGAAGGACGAAACAATTGTTTTGATCGAAAATTCGCTTTTAGTGGTAATCAGTGGCCCTGATCACAAATATAACACCTATTCTTGGCGTCCACGCAATTTTGGCGACAGAATAGCGCTGAACGTTCCCTACATGGGTGTACATAACGAATTCACTGGAAAGAAGATGTGGCCCCAAATTTTCTATAGTTGACACCACACCAGAAGTTACTAATTTCGCAATCAGGTCCACTGTATAGCCTATGAGGATCAACGTCCAGCAACAATCTTGTTCAGTGGTGCGTGAAAATCGAAATAGTTGAATAGCACTGACTCATGAGGTGAAACTACTCGGAATGTGCCCATAAATGGCAAATATCCGAGTTGTATTCATGCGCAGACACAAATGGAAGCTAGAACAGCGAAATCAAAAAAATGCAAAA